TTGAGGCTTTGACCCGTATTCTGCTTATCCAATGTTAGCTGTCAAACTTGACAAGACGTTTGTTTTGCTGATATTCAGCGTTAGAGTAGTTTGATATTAGTCAAATTCAACTAATGGTCTATCATCAATGCTGCGCTTTGATTGGATAAGCTTGTACTAGGCTACATGAGTTATAAACTACTAGTATCGGAAAGTGCGGGCTTTGAAAACCAAAACATTAAATTTAACTTTAATTCAAAACTTGTTTGCATCTATATATTTGAACAACTAGTTGGATTTTACTAATAACAATTAGTCCTCTTGCCCTCATGGCCCATTCGGGTTCAACGACTGATAGCTAAATATCCTGATCCTTTTATGCGTATTAATTTCCCAATGAACAAGTTAAAAAAAAGGTTATTGATATCACTAGATTGTAAAATAATTGCGCACAACCAAAGACAGAAAGTTTTAGAATTTAAAGAAAAAATATGAGCTTTAKGCTGAAAGGGAACTTATAGCCTGCGTGCAGCCGGACTTTTCTCTCGTATAACTAACAGTTAGTTAGTTCGGCTGCACGCAGGCTACGAACTTACTACATTGAAAGATTCAAGCAACTGTAAAAAATAGACAAATAGARTCAGTATGTTACTCTTCCCCCAAGGCAACAACAATRTCTYAATATAGATATAYCTAKCTCAAAAACCTGCTATCATTATTTCCAGGCTCATYATGTCGAACATCGTTGAACTTCAGACTATTAATGACAGCTTGGGTAGTTCAGATAGTACTCCAGTAATCATCGTTGGAACGGGTGATTTTGGGAGAGCGTTGGCYACCAGGCTTCACCGCTTTGGAATCCCAGTTGTGCTTGGCTCTAGTAACCCAAGAATCGTCGAAGCAAAARTTATCCCACATGGAGTGGAAGTTCTAGAGAACGAAGAGGCATTGAAGCTTGGCAACGTTGTRGTACTTGCAGTACATCGACAACATTATGAAGAAGTCACGGAAAAACATCAGACAGACCTCAAAGGAAAGATTGTCGTCGATGTTAATAACCCACCAAAGAAAACTGAGGTTTCAAGTGCTGAGTATCTGGCTCAGCTTATACCCGAGTCKAAAGTTGTAAAAGCCTTGAATGTCATATCAGCCTGGGCACTCGAGTCTGACTCGTTTGGTGGAAGTAAGCAAGTCCCAYTCTGTTCCAATAATGCTGATGCWCGCCGAGTAATAAACCATTTGATTCGTGATATAGGTTTTGAACCTATTGACCGAGGTAGCCTCAAGACAGCTGCAGAGCTAGAGTCCATACCTTATCGATTTTTCCCAACTTGGATCAAGCCCGTCATATTTTCCTTTGTTCTCTTAATTTTGATKATTTKTTTTGAATTTCTGCGCCGTTTTGTGAATAATGGAAAGGTGAATATCAAGTGGGAAGGCTTTCCAATCAGCAAGCTTAACGTCTATCTGGCCTTTAATTCCATAGGTCTTCTGTACCTGGCCTACCTTCCTGGTTCCATTGCTGGTATCTTTCAGCTTATCAATGGTACCAAGAGGAAACGTTTCCCAGCGTGGCTGGACGAATGGATGAAGGCTCGCAAGCAGCTAGGGTTACTGGGGTTCTTCAATGCTTTACTGCACGCTATTATGGCACTGCTTGCGATGAATTCAGCGTTCGCAGGATCTTTCTATGAGAAATCTGGGCATTTTAACGTCCAAAACCAAACCATCCATGTGGCATCAAGGCTGAGCCTGAACGGGGAATTATCCATGTTTTTTGGAATCGTCGCCTTCTCTCTCCTCTGCATCCTTGCCGTGTGTTCTCTACCAAGTGTAATCGATACTATGAGCTGGCGTGAATGGAATTTTGCGCAGTCAGGAATAGGCCACATAATGCTGGGATGTGCAATTAGCCACATGGCGACAATGGGAGGCTTTGGCATGGCACATAGAGGTTGGAAGTTTCCTTCCAACTACTTYCTACCCTCAGTATTCTACATTGAGTTATTCCTGGGTTTTGCAGTGATATTTCTCAGGGTTTTGCTTTATATGCCCTGTTTATACATCCCGCTGCAGAAAATCCGTCATGGATGGGAAAGAGTTAGTGCAAGGCAGAAGGGAGAAGAGTGCGAAAAGATCATGCAAGTGTGAGATCTTGGCGATCATTACAACCGTAGATKTGGAATAGCAGACTGAAAAACTGTGATCCCAGTAAATTAATCTAATATTGTTTGAATATCGAGCAAAAAGTTTGATTGATCCAGACTTCCGTTAGATTTAAATATTATACAAAATCATAGTACAAAATTTTATTGAAAAGCCTTTCATTTCTTGATCAAGCTTTTAGTATAATTGGTTTGGGACCTATGTCCTATTAACAATGCCCTCAACCAGGTCCGGTTTTTTTCTATCTTTGTTTTTTTTGTATTGGAATTTATAAATTTCAAATCAGGCTTCAATTAAAATCTCGATCTGTGATTGAATTATTTGAATTTTGTGTAATAACCGCTAGATACAAGCACGGATATGCGCTTTTGTACTATCGACATTTAAGAATGAAAAGTACAAATTTGAGGCTACCAGTTATTGTTCCAAAAAATTCAATGGAAATTATTGCTGCAAACTCACAAGAATCACTTGCAAGCGTTACCCCAAAAAGATAGGAAAGTACAGCATCTAAAAGCAAAGTTCACAAGTATTTTTTTCTTGCACTAAAAATTTAAAACAATGGTAAATGCATGGAAGCCATTGTGCGATAACTATCCTTATCAATATTGCAACTGTGTATTTAAAACCTAAAATTTTTTTCCAGTCGAAACCTTGGTCCGCGTCGCTTTTGGAATGGACAAGTAAGAAGATTAGGTACAATAATGACTTCTCTTGAAAGAAAATAATTTCACAACACAATCAACTATTTGCTTTGATATTGAAAAAATAAATATTTAGATGAGTTAAATATACAACAGAACGAAACATGCGAACTAAAATATAGCAAAAGAAAATAGCAGTCAATGAAATGAAACAAAAAGATGGGGGGTAGCAGATTAGTAGAGAACAAAAAAATAAAAAATAAAAAATAAAAAAAATGAAGAAGCGAGGAATAAAAGGTTATAAGGAATATACGATTGCTTGGTGTTTCTGGTCTTGTTCAAGTGTACCATGGTGAAAAGTGGGGAACAGTGTGTAGCGATTACTGGCGTTGGGAGGAAGCCAAGGTTGCATGTAGACAACTTGGTTTTACCAAAGCTGTACGTTATTGGCACTATGGACATGGGGAGCAAGGACCAGTCTGGCTGGACGACATGGCATGTAAAGGCTCAGAGGCCTCACTTCAGGATTGTTCTCATCCTGGATGGGGAGTTGCTGACTCTGCCTGCAAAACTCACAAATATGATGCTGGTGTTACGTGATCTAGTTACCCCGACCAGCAATTATTCTTGTAATCGATAATGCTTTATTGTTCCTTTCCATTTAAATAGCTAATTTTGGGTGAAATAAAATAATGTAGTTGAGCGAAAGTAATAATAGTGTTAAAAATTTTTTATCATATTTTTGATTAAAAAAAATTGCAAAATTACAAATTTGGATGAAAAGCATCAATCAGCGTCAGTATAAGTTACCATAGCACAGGGAACGTATTACTCAAGAATTTAGAATCACATACTTCGATCTGTTGATGACAAAGTCTGCGTTCTACTGCTTAGGCTTGAACTCTAAGCTGCCTTTGTTACTGTCAACCACAATAAACTGCTGAATAGACTCTTTAACTGTTACAATATTACAGGTGCGACCTTTTTCAGGATTCATTCCTACCTTAGTGATGGGACGCATCATATTACTTTGGATGGGCGCACCTCGGATGACCACTTGTTAAATAAACTGTGGTGTTTCGCACATTTCAGTGCTTGGACCGAGCCTCTATTCGAACACTGTACGCTATTCGCTTGGCGACATTATGAAGTATCACAATATGAGCTATCATTTCTATGTCGAGTGACACACAGGTTTATCTGACGTTTATATATTCATATAGGAGAATTAAAGAAGGTACGACATCGAACAAACCACTTGCTGGTCAATGACTTTAATAAACGTTCAGGCCAAAAACGGCCTTCTTCAGTACTATACACACCTTGTAATAAAACTAAAAAACAAAGTAAAAATATAGTATATATATATA